GCCCCGCGCCGCGGGGGGCGCGCGGGCGGCCATGTTTGGGGGAGCAGCGGGGCGGGTTTCTTTCCTCCATCCTCGTTCACACTCGCCGCGGGGAAGACTCAGAAAGCGCACAGTGACCCCTGCGAGGACCTCTCAGAAAAGACCGAATTATTGTCAGTACTGTCGAAACCAAAACAGATTGAAAAGGCCTGGTCAGCCGCCATCTTTGAGCGGAGCGCCTTTTCTGATTGGTCTCGGAGGGATCAGAAGACTTGGTTGCTACGCGACGCGCACGCTGCGCCGGTTTTCTAAGAGCGAGATTAAGTTTCTGGTTAGGTGCCTTCGAGATGGGGGAGGGGCCAATCACGTTGCCGAATCTCGGTTACTAGGCAACGCTGTGAGGTCGCGGTCAACTTGGAAGCCGGTGCAGCTGTTTTGCCCTGAAAAGGAGCCGCTCTCCAACCCAAGTGGAGGTTGCTAGGCGACACCTGAGCGTTGTTTTCTGGGAACGAAACCAGAAAAGAAATGCATTATAGGTGGATTAATAATGTAAACGCAACAAATGGGACTTTAAAACTATCTAGAGGACAAAGAAGTACACTGTATAATCCTGAAGACCGGAATAGAGCCTTTAAACGCTACAGCAAAACCAGAAAACATAAAACCGCCAGCAATGTCAGCCAAAGACTGCAGAAACCAACTTGAAAAATATAAGATAAACTAGGAATATCTTACTAACATACTGTGGTTAGAAATGTACAACCCAGGTCTTACTAATCAATAACTAGAAAAATAGAAATACTATGTTTTTCCCCCAACGGGAAACTATTTGTGCTTTTCCCCACACTTAAAAAATTTTAAATAACTAACACTTGAAAACTGCTCATCTTCACCAATTAAAAACTCTAATAGGGACCAGCAGATGGCGAAATGGTTGCGTCGCTGGATTCCCATGTAGTAAACTGTGATTCGAGTCCCGGACCTGATAGCTTAAAACTCACGCTAGGCCCTCGTGGTGCATGCGTTCACTCTGTTCTTGCCATGTCTTCTTACATGACATTTAGAATCAAGCGGTTTCTGGCCAAGAAACAGAAGCAAAATCGTCCCATTCTCCAATGGATTTGAATGTACATACATGCCTAAAATTCTGGGAGGAGAATGGAGTTGAAGGGATTGTGGCACCATGCCCCCCCAACCACCACCACCCCACCACCATCCCACCACCCCCACCACACCCCACTCCACCCCCGCTCCAGGGATGTTTCTTGCTTTCTGTCTGTCTCTCCAGCGAGCACAAGCGCCTTATAGCAAAAATCTTTTTTTTTGGAGAGGTTTTTTTCTGTAGGGTGCATGCGCTCGCCAGAAAGACAGAGACAGAAAGCGAGAACTCGACCCCCAGGGAGGATGGCCACTGCTGTTCTTTAATGTTTTGTTAGATATTATTTAAATATCCTTCAGAAATTTGTACCAATTTACATTCGGACCATTAGGCCATGAAAATTTCTGAAACAAGAGAATTTAAAGCTAGCTGAACAGATGTATGTGGGGGTGGGTCTTCATGAAGTTCGTGGAAAGATGAAGATGTAATTGTAGGGGGACCAGCAGTTAGTGTAATGGCTGTGTCGCTCGACTCCCAGGTAGTTGACCATGGTTTGAGTCCCGGACCCGGTGGCTTAACACTCATGCCGGGTGCGTGTGCATGCGTGCCCAAGAACCCCAGAGGAGAATGGAGAAGGGATTGCAGTGTGGCCATCCCCCCTGGGGGGTGATTTCTCACTTTCTGTCTCTCTGTCTCTCTCTGTCTGGCGAGCGCACGTACCTTATAGCAAAAACCTCTCCAAAAAAAAAAAAAGAAGAAAAAAAAGAAACACTAATGGGCTGGGAGGCGGCATTGTGGTTGATGCACTAGACTCCCACATTGCAGACTGGGAATTGAGCCCTGGACCTGACAGCTTGCTTTCTCACTCTCCTTTTCTCTTTCTCTGGTCAAGTAAGAAATAATAATAAAATTAAATAATGATTTTTTAAGAATTGCTAACAGAAGGGGCCAGCAAGTTGCATAGTGGTTAAGGTGCTGGACTCCTACATGGCCAGCTATGTATGGTTCAGGTCCCCAGAGAAGAATGGAGGGGAAGGGATTTCTGATGAGTACACGCGCCTTATAGCAAAAGCCTCTCCAAATATATATACATATATTTTATTTCACTTTATCTATTTATTTGTATTTGACCAGAGAGGGACAGAGCGAGCGAGATAGAGAGGGAAAGTGAGAAAGCAAGCCACCAGGTCCGGGACTTCCAGTGTCCTCAACCACCACGCCACCTGCCAACCCCAAAATAATTCTTTAAAAAATTTTTTTTTAATTTTATTCAACTTTATTTAAATTTGACTAGAGAGAGATAGCACGAGAGAGAGGGAGAGGGAAAGTGAGAAAGCAAGCCACCAGGTCCGAGACTTGAACCATGGTCAGCCATGTGGGAGTCCAGTGTCCTTAACCACCATGCCACCCACTGGCCCCTAAAAATTTTTTATTTATGTTTTTAAATAATTATTTTTTATTTAACTTTATTTATTTATTTATTTAAATTTGACCAAAGAGGGACAGAGACAGAGAGATTGAGAGAGGGAAAGAATGAGAAAGCAAGCCAAAGGTCCAGGATTCAAACCACAGCTGGTCATGTGGGAGTCCGGCACCCTTAACCACCATGCTACATGCCAGCCCCAATATTTATTACTTTAAACACACACAGGAAATAACTTAATGTACATTAATACAGGATTAGTGTAATCGATCTGTTACATGTATAAAAAAGTTTTTTTTAAACTTTTTAAAGTTTTTTAAGATTTATTTATTTTAAATAATTATTTTTTGTGGGAGGCTGCACACCAGCGAATATTGCTGGTTTCTCAGAGAGCAATTACACAATGACAAAGACCATGATTGGCTCACCTTCAAAACCTCACCTTCAAAACCATACTCTGATTGGCTACTTCCCATAGCAAATAGGTGAGCTTAGAATCCCTAGATTTGCATATCTGGCACCTCACGATTGGTCCACAAAAGCAACCAATCATAACCCACCTTTTTCAATCCTTCATTCAACCAATCACTGCCCACCAACATGTATATAATCACTATCCCAGGACCACAGTCGCCAGACGACCCTGAAAATCCTGAAGACCTGTGACACCGTGATGTCTCTGGAAGACCCTGAGGACTTGTGACACTGTGTCGTCTCCGTGCTGCCCATAATAAACGGACAACCCCGAAGAGTTGTAACACTGCATTGTTCATCCCGTCTCTCACTCCTTCCCTCAAGAAACCTGTTCAACTGTCTCCCGGGTTGGGACAATTTTTTATTTAACTTTATTTATCCATTTAAATTTGACTAAAGAGGGCAGGAGAGCCACACTTGGCCATGTGAGTCCAACACTCTTAACCAACATGCTACCTGCCTACCCCTATTTATTTATTTTTTAGGTTTTCGTCATAAGGTATGTGTGCCTGCCAGAGAGAGACAGAGAGAGGGAAAGTGAGAAACCATCCCCTGGGGCGCTGGACACACAGTGATCCTTTCTTCTGCAGATACAGGGGACACATGCACACAAGCACGGTGTTTCAAGCAACTGGGTCTGGGAACCATGGCCCGCTTGTGGGAATTCTGTGCCTTTACCACCACACTACGTGCTGGCCTAATAAAAATTATTTTTAAGGGCCAGCAGGTGGCATGGTGGTTAAGGCACTGAACACTCCCACATAGCCAACCACAGTTCAAGACCTGGACGTGGTGGCTTGCTTTCTCACTTTCCCTCTCTGTCTGTGTTTCTCTGGTCAAATTAAAATGAATGAATGAATAAATAAAATCTTTAAAATTCTTTTAAAAATATTTTTAAAGGACATTAAAAAGATGAGGTAGATTTATACTTTTTGATGAGAAATAGTATAAAAACAGTACAAGGGACCAGCAAGTGGCATGGTGATTAAGGTACTGAACACCCATATGGTTGATGGAGGTTCCAATACCACACCTGGCAGCTTGAAACTCCCACCAGGCACATGTGTGTGCATGCCCAATGTCTGGAGTGGAGGGGGAACGTGACCTGCTGGTCCTCGCCTTTCGTTTTGTTTGTTTGTTTGTTTTGTTTTGTTTTGTTTTGTTTTTTGCTATAGGGTCCGTGCGCTCACCAGACAGACAGAGACAGAGAGACAGAAAGTGAGAAATCACCC